CAACACAGTGAGACTCTGTCTCAAAAAAAAAAAAATTAGTTTGGCATGGTGGCACACACCTGTAGCACTTGTAGTCTTAGCTAACTCAGGAGCCTGAGGCAGGATGATCACTTGAGCCCAGGACCGAGGCTGTAGTGAGCTGAGATTGAGCCACTGTACTCCAGCCTGTGTGACAAAGCTAGACCTCATTTCTAAAAATAGATACATAGATAGATAGTAAATCATAGCTATTAATTGGTGATTGTTTAGGCCAACTCATCTCTAAATTTCTGGCTTACAAATATCAGTTGGGAGAAATAGTCACAATAATTTTATCATGGAAAGAAAGCTTTATTTCTGTTCTTTCTTCTTATCTTTCTTTCCCTCTCCTTAGGCTGGTAATCCCGGTGGACCTGGACCTGGTGGTCGAGGAAGAGGTAGAGGTCAAGGCAACTGGAACATGGGACCACCTGGTGGACTACAGGAATTTAATTTCATTGTGCCAACTGGGAAAACTGGATTAATAATAGGAAAAGGCAATGTATTTTAAATTATCTTAATGTTTAACACATAAAAAGAGCAGGATATGAATCTCATTGACTTTTAGAGAAAGAGGACCAATAGTTAATTATTAGTGTAAGAAACTTCCTTTGACCCAAAAACTAGTTTGTTTTTCTTTGTTCATTTTGCTTTTTCCTTCATATTCATTAAAATTTAAATGTGTTGGTTTATCTTTACATTGCTTTTTTTCTTCTTAAACAAGAGTAAAAGCAAGATTTATGTTGCTTTTAAAAGCAATTTATTTAAAGCAAATATTTTGATAAGTTATAATCCACATTAAGATTGTATTTAAGCATACTAAGTCAACAAATGTATTTTTAAGAAAAACATGAAATATTTTGTATAATTTGACTTAAAGTGTAGAATATTAAATGGAAAATCCTAATAGAATATTGTTAAATAGGATACTGGCCAAAATTATTTTTTTAGTGGCACATTTATTTATTCACTTATTTATTTTATTTTTATTTTTTTAGAGAGAGGGTCTTCCTCTGTCATGACCAGGGTGGAATGCAGTGGCATCACCATAGTTCACTGCAACCTCAAACTCCTGGGCTCAAGGGATCCTCCCATTTCAGCCTCCTAAGTAGCTAGGACTATAGGCGTGCAATACTATGCCCGGCTAATTTTTTTTTCTTTTTTGTAGAGATGGGGTCTTGCTATGTTGCCCAGGCTGGTCTCGAACTCCTGGGCTCAAGCAATCCTCCTGCCTCGGCCTCCCAAAGTGCTGGGATTACAGGCATGAGCCACTGCACTCAGCCAGTGGCCTCTTTAATTGTGACCATTTTCTTCTGGATAGCTTCTCTTACATCCTTGGAGCCTTTAGAGAAATTACTGTCTTTTGGTTTTAGGAGGTGAAACCATAAAAAGCATAAGCCAACAGTCTGGTGCAAGAATAGAACTTCAGAGAAATCCTCCACCTAATGCAGATCCTAATATGAAGTTATTTACAATTCGTGGCACTCCACAGCAAATAGACTATGCTCGGCAACTTATAGAAGAAAAGATTGGTGTGAGTATGCTTTAGACTTTTTTAATTTATAGTGTAGACCCTATTAAATAACACATTAATTCAGGTATACCACAGGAAAATGTACAATATTTAGTCTGCATTATAGTTTTTGTTACATAATAGATACAGAAAACATGAAAAAGATTTTCCAGCTATAAAAATAACCTAATTAAATATGCAGTTACAGATTTTCAGAACTACCTTATATTTGGGTGTGAGTAGATAAAAGAGGGTAGCATTACCTGCAGGCTTGATATTAGTATTGGTGGAAGGTTGTGAAGCATAGTTGAAGGAGATAGTTATGGAAATTCATTATATATTAAGGTCTTAAATGCAACCATGGGGAAGCAAAAAAGATGAATTAGATGTGGACTGG